GCGATAGTGTCGGGGGGGGGGGGGGGGCAGGCCGGTGCGGGCCGCCCTGCAAAGGCAGGCCGCAGGCCGAGGCCCTCCTGCTCGCGCCGGCTGCGTCAGCGCGCTGCAGGCTGCAGAGCGCGCGTTGAGGCTCCTTTCCAGCTCTCCATCCACACATCGACCTGTTCGCATACTCCTCCCTCTCTCTAGGCTAGAGGCTGGCCACGAACCGGCGTCGTGTTCATAGATGAGATCACGGCGACGCCAGAGAGCGAGCCATTTTTGTCACAACAAGCAAAGTCATTTGCGTACGCGCGCTTCAAACCTGACGCGTTTCTGACTGGCGATATGGCTTTTCACTTTTCACCGGTGTTTCTTTATCCCTGTCGCTGAGCGCCCGACCGCGCTTGCAGCAGCTGCAGCAGCTGCTGTGGGGGCGGCACTGTGAGAGGGGGTGCTGCCGCCGCCCCCCGCTCTCCATAACGCACACCCTCACCCTCAGTCCCCGAGCGAGGGGTCATAAGCAAATGGCACACGCAGCGGGTCGTTGCCTTGCTGTTGTTGTTGTTGCACTATCGCACCCGGAGACAAAACATCTTGTAGTGTTCATGAGGCTCTTATTATCGGCGAGTCATATGGGCCGTCGCTATGGGCCACATGGGGTGACACGGCACGCATCCCCGCCGGCACTTATGGATCTCGGTCAGCTGTGAAGTCCAGCCAGCGCGTCCCGCGACGGGGGCGGCGCAGAGAGAGAGAGACTCTTCCGCAGAGTGAGAAGACAGACACGGAACCAGCGCAGCGTCACGCGAGAAGCTTGTGCGGGGGCGGCAGCGGCCGTCGCGCTGCAGTCGGACACGGACACCTCAGGAAGACACCTGACCAGGTCCTCGAGAAAAACGAGGCAGTGCGGAGAGTGAGTGTGGGGTGTTGCCCGACGGCGACGACCCGCGAGAGAGGATATCCTGGCTGGCGTGAGGCTGTGGCGGAGTTGGGGGAGGAGCGTAAGTGACGACGGCTTCCCCGAGGGGCCCGGGGCCCTACCTGGCCGCCGGAGGCACGACTGGGCTGGGAGGGAGGAGGTGGGGTGCGGCGTTCATCTCCGCTCCCGCGTTTTCCCTCTCACTCTTTCCATCAAAGTCGCGCTCAAATAACTTATTTATCTCTGTCTCCCCGCCCCGCCCAGGCGGGCTCCGCCGCTCTGCTCCGCGTCCTGGTCGCCGCTGCTCTGGGGGACGGGCCGGCTGGCCCCGCGCCAGGGGCGCCAGGGCGCAGGGGCGGGCGCAGGACGGGGAGGAGGCGGGGGAGGGGGGGCAGGAAGGACGACGATCCTTCATTATCCGTCCGCCCGGGCCCCTCCTCGGTCTGGAGGACGGGGGAGGACGAGGGAGATGGGCATCAAACTGAAGGGCCTCTGCTCCTCGGTGTTTGAGCCGAGGCCCCCCCGAGGGGTCGTGGCGTAGCGTAGCGGCCGCCGAGACAGTTTGGCACAGGCGCCGCCAGGCCTGCACTAGACCGACCTAAATCGCTGCCAATGCCGCTGCCAATGCATGACACTGACGGAGCCATCGACAGGCGCGGGGAGGCTGGGAGGGAGAGACGGGTCGAGGGGGAATCGGGGGAATCAGTACAGTATGCTGTTGGACGTTATAGAGGGGGGAGGGGGTCTTGCTCGGTCTCCAGAGCAGGGGCAGGGTGCTGCTGTTTGGCAAGGGCCGCCAAATAGCTTCGTTTGGCTTCACCCCAATCACGTTGCCGCGCTCTCGCACCTCTCCACCGCCCTTCCGCTACCGCACCACCGGGCACCACTTCCGGGCGAAAAATGCGTAGCGTAGTGAAATATTCTTGTCGACCTAGAGGAAAGACGACCCCCACCGTCGAGTTGGGTCGAAGGCAAATTATTTTATTTTTTTTTGTTCTCAATTTACAATATTTACTTTTGGAAAACGGTGTTGCAGGGTGTAATCAACCGTTGAAACGCAAACTAGTTTTACACTGACCGACCTGACAGTCATGAGCACCCTCCCTCCTCGTGCTCGCTGTAAGTGTGTCCGCCTGTGTGTCTGTGCGTGAGTGAGTGCGTGCGTAAAAGTGTGTGTGTTTCGCGTCCGCGCCACTCGCGTTGCACTTCTTGCGCATGTTGACGCAGCAGCACAGTGACTTGAGCCCAAGCCTGCCCGTGCTGTGCGCCGTGCGACCGGCCCGATTCGACGATGACTGCATTTTCTTTCCTCTCCTTTTTCTTTCAGCTACTCCTTTTCAGTAGGCAGCGGCGCCCGAGTGGAATGCCGTTATAAATCAAGTGCTGATTCGCTCATTATTATCGATAGAACGGGCCCGATTTATCTTTCGCGGGGTTGCGTCACTCGTCCCCACCTGCTGGGTGAGCAAGTCCCGCGAACGCCCCCGCGCCGAGCGCAGCAAAGAGGTCCCGGGCGCCTGGGCGATAGGCAACGTGTCGGCATCCGTGCATAGCATTGCCTACATCGCAGGGGTCCCGTGGGCGCCTGGGTGGTAGGCAATGTATCGACACCCGTGCACAGCATTGCCTACCCACCAGGCGCTCCCGCTGACCATACCCGGGCG